TTTTTTTTACTCTTTCGTGTGTGCTAGGGTATAGGGTTTAGGGTTTACTCGGCTTTATTAGGGTTTAGGGTTTAGGGTTTAGGGTTTAGGGTTTATAATACCTAGTATCCAGCTGCCATCTCTGGTGACGGAGACGAAACTAATTTTTTCTCTAAAACACGAAATTTGTGTATTTTTTTCTCGCTCTTTTGAGGGTTTACTAGGGTTTACTAGGGTTTAGGGTTTATGAGGGTTTAGGGTTTATTAGGGTTTAGGGTTTATACCTAGTATCCAGCTGCCATCTCTGGTGACGGAGACGAAATTAATTTTTTCTCTGAAACACGAAATTTGTGTATTTTTTTTTCGCTCTTTTGAGGGTTTACTAGGGTTTACTAGGGTTTACTAGGGTTTAGGGTTTACGAGGGTTTAGGGTTTAGGGTTTATAATACCTACTATCCAGCTGCCGTCTCTGCTGACGGAGACGAAATTAATTTTTTCTCTAAAACACGAAATTTGTGTATTTTTTTTTCGCTCTTTTGAGGGTTTACTAGGGTTTACTAGGGTTTTCTAGGGTTTAGGGTTTACGAGGGTTTAGGGTTTAGGGTTTATAATACCTAGTATCCAGCTGCCATCTCTGGTGACGGAGACGAAATTAATTTTTTCTCTGAAACACGAAATTTGTGTTTTTGCTCTTTTATAATTATTTTCTGTTTTTTGTTTTCCATCATAAAGCCGCAACACCCCTTTTTTATTTCCTAGAACCAGGTGACCCTCAGCATCCGTTGCTGTATACACACAAACCCTAAACCCTCGTAAACCCTAAACCCTTTAAACCCTAGAAAACCTAAACCCTAAACCCTAGGAGACAGGGGAAAAAGAGAGGATTTATACGCAGAAAAAAGCACAAAAATATACCTTATATCAACGCCTAAACACCCTAAACCCTAAACCCTCGTAAACCCTAAACCCTCGTAAACCCTAAACCCTAAACAATAGAACACACTAAACACGAGGAAACGGAAAAAAAAGAGGGGTTATACACACAGAAAAAAACACAAAAAAAAATTTATATCATCGTCTAAACACTCTAAACCCTAAACCCTTGTAAACCCTAGTAAACCCTCATAAACCCTAATAAACCCTAATAAACCCTAATAAACATTAATACATATTTATTAATAAATCATAGAACATACAAGGGGAAAGAAGAATAAAAAAATTAGGGTTTAGGGTTTGGTGATAGCCATACTGTTTTTACACGTAACTTTGAGGGTTTAGGGTTTTGAGGGTTTAGGGTTTAGGGTTTACCACGTAAACCCTAAACCCTTGACATTGAGTTTAGGGTTTAGGGTTTAGGGTTTCGAGTGTATTTGCGTTTTGGGTGCATACAAACCCACCTAGGGTTTATAAACTAGGGTTTAGGATTTATCCTACAATAAAAAAGTGTTCCTAAGTACTAATTAGGGTTTAGGGTTTAGGGTTTAGGGTTTATGAGGGTTTAGGGTTTACCGCCGCATGTAAACCCTTGATTTTGTGTGTATGAGTATGTTTGTCTCCTCGCGCAACCGCCGCTTATTCTCGTATCTAAACAAAAAAAGTTTTTTTCATTAAACCCTAAACACTTTGCTTCGGTGGTTTGCTTTGCTGCTGCTGTCACCGGCAGCAAACCCTCAATCTGCAGCAGCAGCAGCAGCAGCAGCAGCAGCAACAGCAGCAGCAGCAGCACAGACAGGAGATGAAGGAGAATAAAGGGAGCAGTAGAAAAAGCAGCAGCAGCAGCAATACAAGCAGCAGCAGCAGCAATACAAGCAGCAGCAGCAGCAGCAGCAGTAGTAGTAGCAGCAACAGCAAGCAGCAGCAACAGCAACAGAAGCAGCAGCAGCAGCAGCAGCAGAATGAGCAGTAGCAGCAGCAACAGCAACAGCAGACCCTCACCCAAAGAACATACGCCCTAAACCCTAAACCCTAAACCCTCTCCGCCCAAACCCTAAACCCTAAACCCTAAACCCTCCCCCCGCAAACCCTAAACCCTAAACCCTCCCCCCTTAAACCCCAACCCCCAAACCCTAAACCCTCCCCCCCCAACCCCCAAACCCTAAACCCTAAACCCTAAACCCTAAACCCTAAACCCTACTTTAAGGTCTGAGTTGATGGTTTGTATGATTTGTTCTGTTTCTAAGTTAAATAAAAAAGCAGCAGAACCATCGCTGTCTCCTTCAGGCAGCAACACAAGCCGCTCCTCCTGCAACAAAACCCTAAACCCTAAACCCTAAACCCTAAACCCTAAACCCTAAACCCTAAACCCTAAACCCTAGAGGGAGTCGTGGACGGATGCATAGAAAAGAAAGAAAAAGAGAAAAGGATATTGAAACAAATAAATAAATAAATAAATAAATGAACAAATAAATAAATAAAATAAATAAAAAATAATAAAACAAATAACAACAAACACAAAAGCTGCAACACAGGCTGCAACAAGAGCAGCAGCAGTAGAAGCAGCAGCAGCAGCAGCAGCAGCAGCAGCAGCAGCAGCAGAAGCAGCAGCAGCAGGATCAAAGAAAGCAGATGCCCGCAGTAGCAGAAGCAGCAGCAGCAACAACAGGAGCAGCAGCAGCAGCAGCAGAAGCAACAACGACAGCAGCAGAAGCAGCAGCAGCAGCAACAACAACAGCAGCAGCAGAAGCAGCAACAGCTGCAGCAGCAGCAGCAGCAGCAACAGCAGCAGCAGCAGCAGCAGCAGCAGCAGAGGAGCTGACGCAGTAATTAAGAAGAGCCGCCTTCGGTGCCTGCCCCCTCCCCTGTAAGTTCAGCTGCAACAAAAAAAAAAAAATAAAAAAAATAAAATAAAATAAAACAAATAAATAAAATAAATAAAATAAATAAAATAAATAAGCAAATTAAATAAACAATGAAAAAAGCAAAGGAATAAATCAATTGACAAAATGCGGTAGCAGCAGCAGCAACAGCAGCAGCAGCAGCAACAGCAACAGCAACAGCAGCAGCAGCAACAGCAACAGCAGCAGCAGCAACAGCAGCAGCAGCAGCAACAGCAGCAGCAGCAACAGCAGCAGCAGCAGCAGCAGCAGCAGCAGCAGCAGACCTTGCTGCCGTCTATTGTTGCCACTACTGAGGATTTTCCGTATTCATCGAACCTGAAACACCGCAGCACAAAAACTAGGGTTTAGGGTTTAGGGTTTAGGGTTTGGCTTAGCGGCTTGTTTATAGTTATAAGCTGCAGGTACACCTGAAAATTAGGGTTTAGGGTTTAGGGTTTAGGGTTTTCTGTTTACCTCAGCAGCACGCCCCCACTGCAGTATATAATAAGGGTTTACGTTCTAGGGTTTAGGGTTTAGGGTTTACTGTCTAGGGTTTAGGGTTTAGGGTTTGCATGAGTATACGCATATCTCTCTTAGTTCTTTTTTTTCTGCCCCCCCAACCCTAAAACCCTAAACCCTCGTTTTTTCTCTCCTTTCTTCTCTCTCCTCTCTACTCTCTACTCTGTCTAGGGTTTAGGGTTTAGGGTTTAGGGTTTAGGGTTTAGGGTTTACTTGAGTATACGCATATCTCTCTTATCTTCTGCCCCCCCAACCCTAACCACTCAAATAAACCCTCGTTTTTTCTCTCCTTTCTCCTCTCTCCTCTCTACTCTCTAATATCTACTGTGTCTAGGGTTTAGGGTTTAGGGTTTAGGGTTTAGGGTTTAGGGTTTACTTGAGTATGCGCATATCTCTCTTATCTTCTGCCCCTCCAACCCTAAAAACCAAAACCCTTTTTTTTCCTGCTTCCATCATTTCGTTCGCCATAAAGTCGGGCGAGGTTTTCAGCAGATGCCTACACAAAACCCTAAACCCTAAACCCTAAACCCTAAACCCTAAACCCTAAACCCTAAACCCTAAACCCTAAACCCTAGACCCTGCGTGGTATACAGAGAGAAAGCCGTCAGAAAGGGGTTTATGTAAACCCTAGAACGGTAGAAACAACATTCATACTCATACAGAAATATATATATATATAAACCCTAAACCCTAAACCCTAAACCCTAAACCCTAGAATACGCACAAACCCATTCCTCCCGCTGCAGATAGAGAGAACCACCTCTCTAACCCATAAACCCTAAACCCTAAACCCTAAACCCTCGCGCGAATCCGTCTGCTGCATGTGTCATTATAACATCCTCCCCAAAAGGGTTTACAAAATCTAGGGTTTAGGGTTTAGGGTTTAGGGTTTAGGGTTTACTTGGTGGGGTCTCTGGCTACCAGCGGGAACTGCTCCTCATCATCAGAGGGATCGCTTTCTGCTTCTTCTATATGCATACCCTCAACCTCGTTCTCTGCAACACAAACCCTAAACCCTAAACCCTAAACCCTAAACCCTAAACCCTAGGCCATAGGTTGTTGCGTATGGAGACACACCAGCACGGACCCAATACTCCTTTTGATGGGTTTATCATCATGGGTTAGGGTTTAGGGTTTAGGGTTTAGGGTTTACAGTTTAGGGTTTAGAGTTTCGGGCTGGGGTTTAGGGTTTAGGGTTTAGTGTTTAGGGTTTTTGTTATTTATTGTGGATTGTTTATCATATACATACCGCATCCATTAGGGTTTAGGGTTTAGGGTTTAGGGTTTCCTATCAAATTCATACCTCTAACTGCTCTAGGGTTTAGGGTTTAGGGTTTAGGGTTTAGGGTTTAGGGTTTACCGCTTGGTTTGGTATCAAATTCTTCTAAGTACCCGACTTGTTTTTCTAGGGTTTAGGGTTTAGGGTTTAGGGTTTAGCGTCTACCTCTCCGTTTCCTATCAAGCCTAAACCTCCTAACTCTAACTGCTCTAGGGTTTAGGGTTTAGGGTTTAGGGTTTAGGGTTTACCTGCAGGCTTGGTATCAAACTCTCCTAGATATCCAATTTGTTTTTCTAGGGTTTAGGGTTTAGGGTTTAGCATCTACCTCTCCGTTTCCTATCAAATTAATACCTATACCTATATTCTAGGGTTTAGGGTTTAGGGTTTTTGAGGGTTTAGGGTTTAGGGTTTTTGAGGGTTTAGGGTTTAGGGTTTACCTGCTGG